TCCCAAACACTCTCCAACCCTCCAACCCCCCTCGGCTTCTCCCCCAAAGTAGTAATCCTAAAACCATGCCTCACCTCCCCATTCTCTCCTTCCCCATCACCTCTCACATCCCAATCACTAATAGCAGTATGACTAGTAACCCTATTATCCCACAACGCAACCGTTCCTTCCTCCCACTTAACTCTAACCTGAAAATCCTGACCAAAAGTAATATGTTTAAATAACAACTTCAACAGCGCTTCTGATTCCTCGTCCTTTAATCCCACAATCCTCTTCGTGAAACCCGGATTCACAAACAAGGCTTTTTGTCCAGTGGAAGGATGAACCCTCACAATGGGATGTTGACTCTTTACTGGATCACGACGAACAAATAATCCATCTTTTTCGGCATTTTGGGCTTGGGGAAATCCAGAATGTTCAGCTCTCAAGCCTTCGAGAAGAGCACGAATGGGCGGGGAGAGACGAGAGTAGGCGGCTGTTTGGGATTGCCAAACTGTGTCTCCTCCTGTTGGGGGAACAGATAATAGAGTGAGAATAGTGATTCCGGGGGGTTGATGTTCGTAGGAAACGTCAGAGTGGAAACCGGTCGTGGTGAGTTTGTTGGATTTGCGACGGTTGCGGTATTCGTTGTCTGGACCAAGGTAGATGTTGTGAAGTTCAAGGTTGTCCTTGACGTGGGCTCCGACAGGCTGTTTTTTTTTTACTTTCTGTCAGTTGATTCTGGACAAAATGAGATCAGGAGAAGAACATACATGGATGTGAAGAGGACCAAAGTAACGACCGAGTTCCTTTTGCTTTTGGACTCCAATGTCCTTGAAATCCTGATCGCGAAAGATAACAACACCGCGCTCGGCGATCAAAAGGGCGAGTTCGTCCTTTTGGAGATCACTAAGTTGGGAGAGCTGGAGACCGCGGATTTCGGTTCCGATGGATGGGGTCAACTTGGTCACCTTGAGGTCTGGATTGGTCTGGGAGAGAAGGTTGGGTTTCTTTTTGTTGGCTACCAGGCCTCGATCGTCGAATTCGAAGGGCTTGAGGGGAGGGAAGTGGGTTTTGTTGTCATAGACGGGGAGGTAGGCTGAATATTTGTACTGCTTCACTGTTAGATGGATTCATTGTCTCTAGAAAAAGGGAATGCACACCTCATTGTGAATCTGGTTGTCATATGCCAGTCTCAGGGTGAGAGGCGCATCATCAGTGGCTGTGGCCGTAGTGGTTGTTGTTGACATGTTGATGACTTGGAAATCAAATTTGTGGTTCTAGATTATGTATCAGTTGGATCCATAGAGGTCTGTTCTTCTCTTATACATGTTGGCTTCCGCCGACTTGAACATGACGAATTACGATTCCCATCATCACGTCAACATAATGCAGATGGCGAAGCTCTCACTACTCTATCAGTTGCGGGGAAGGTGTTGGCGATGTGTGGTTCAACCTGCCGAAAGGTGGGAGTCGTGATTTGTACAGAAATGGCGATGACCATTCTCAATCTCTTATCTCCGGATTTCAACATATTACGTCTCCCGCAATCCGTGATCATAATGGTCGGAATATGGCATCATTCTAGTCGATCAGTGAATTTATTGCCGGCCGGGACCGATCCGGCTCGGCATTGCCGCTCATCGGCAAGTTGTGAATTCACGAGAAAATGAAAAACATCATCACAACCAAACTCCATTTGTATATGTACCCAATGCTCGCTCATTGCTAAAAACTCCAAATGCTCAAATCCTGCCTTCAAATGATGAAATTGTTTAAAGTGACACGGATTAGAAAACACCATTGGTATAATCCACAACTGTAACCTTTTCAACAATCGGTTCAATGAGCTTCTTGAACGACTTGTGAGCTGGATCCTGCTCGACATAATAATTCCTGTCGTCGGTACTTTCAAATTGAACGACAAATCCGTGCGTGTGACCGTGCTGGGTGTATTTGTTAGGCGTATACTGTAGAGGAAAAGTGAGGCAAGATGACGGACCTGTTGGTTTTCTTGAGAGTGGTCTCTTCCACCAGTGATGCTCCTGATGTAGGCGTGCTGCGAGTTGGGAGAGACACAGGATTCCTTGAGAGCGAGGAACCTGAGGTTGGCTTCGTTGATTGAATCGGTGTCGGTGTCTGCTTTGTATTGGAAAAGGACGACATGTGTTACGGTTGTGGTGCGGCCGGGGGAGAGTTGGGCGACGGAATTTGACGCGAACCCAATCGGGTCAAAAAACAGAAACACGGTGAGAATGCACGCAACGGCGATGGTGATCCTGAGCACGTGGGGCTGCGCCCCTGATATGTTGACCATTTTGAGGAAGGAAGGTTTATAAAAATTCTGAATGGATTTGATGCAGCAGGAGATGATGAAGGTGATTGATGAGAATTGATGATGAGTGAAAATCGGGGGTTTTTTTTTTGAAGCTTCTTCCCATCCAAACTTGCAATTTCCCGTTGACAAAGGGTCCTGGTCCAGCCGCTTTCAGGCGCCAACGTGCAACGGCCACACGTGATTTGTCAATCGCCAAAACAGTGGCTGCCCAAAATTTGGAGCAGGTTTTTGGCGTTTCCTTTTTTTGTGCTAGCGAAATCGATGTCCCGCCCACGCCATGAAACGACATTTGTGTTCGTGTTCCTTTTTCAGCTCTGAAAGGTCCCCTTGTAAAATTGAAAATGGGGAGAAAAAAAGGGGGTGTTTTGTTCCACAGCGATGGATCCTTCTGAGTGACAGGGAAGGTGCACCAAAAGAAAGCTTGACATCTCGGCACCACTTGCCCCTGCTTACCAATTGCAGGGGTGATTTTAAAAAGCATCACCACCCAGCATCATCAACGTCATCACTTCAGGAAAAAGTTTTCTACATGATGAACAAAAATCCTTTTTCATCAGGGAGGATCGCCCCTAATGCCATAAATCGGCACAATGCCTCCAACAAGAAAGAGTGGGGCACAGAGAATGCCCAGCCTTGAATCCTCCGATAGTAACTCCGCCTATAAAGAGGGAATTTCTCTGATACATCTTGACTTCAATTCCAACTCATTAGCACCTTTTCCCTAAAACATCAAAATGGCTCCCCTTACGATCGACACAAAGCTTAAGCTCAATAGCGGTTACGAGATCCCCCAGCTGGGATTTGGCGTATGCGAAATTGCCTCAACTTTCCCTCTGTTTCTAAAAATTGCATTTCACTAATCTACAAACAAAACAGGTCTACCAAACTCCTCCCTCAGATACCAAGAGATGTGTGACTGAGGCTCTCAATGCCGGATACCTTCATGTCGACTCTGCCGCCTACTACCAGAATGAAGCCGCCTGTGCCGAGGCCATCCGTTCTTTCGGCCGCGACAAGGTCTTTTTCACGTCCAAGATCTTGCCTGGCAGCTTGAATTATGACAGTGTCATTTCTCAGGTTGACAGAATGCTCAAGGAGACCAATCTTGGATACCTTGATCTTGTCCTCATTCACTCTCCTCACGGTGGATCTGCCAACCGCAAGGCCGCTTGGAAGGCTCTTGTTGAGTGCGTCGAAACTGGCAAGATCCGCAGCATTGGTGTCAGCAACTATGGCGTACATCATCTTGACGAGCTTGAGAAGCACATTGTCGAGCTTGAGGAGGAGCGCGGTTGCAAGGGCAAGGGTGGTGTCATCAGTGTTGGCCAGTGGGAGATTCATCCCTGGGTTGCTCGCAACGATATTGTCGAGTGGTGTGCCAAGCGAAACATTGCTGCCGAGGCATACTGCCCTCTTGTTCAAGGAAAGCGATGGGGAGAGCCTGTGTTGAAGAAGCTTGCGGAGAAATACGGCAAGAGTGAAGCTCAGATTTTGATTCGATGGAGCTTGCAGAAGGGACTGGTTCCCCTTCCCAAGAGCGTCACTACGGAGAGAATCAAGTCGAACGCCGAGGTGTTTGACTTTGAGTTGACTCCTGAGGAGATTGCGGAGCTGCAGACGGATGAGTATTCTCCTATCAGCTGGGATCCCAATGTTGAGCCTTTGGAGAGGTAGAGTTTGACTAGATAAGAATGCAATCATTGAATGTCCTAACCAGCCCGAGAAATTATTTCCTCTACCTTCCCTACTAACCCGCCTTTCCATCCCAACACACCAGTGCTGGCAACCAACACCCACAAATCACTCAAACTACCACAAACCTGCCTGTACTTTACCGTCCCCGTTTCCTTTTCATGTATCAATCCCTCAAACTTCCATATTTCTCTATACTTCGTTTCCTTTCTTGTACCGATTCCTCAAAATTCCATTCAAGTCAAAATAAAAATAATATATTTTTGTGGTTGACTCTCCCGCCGGGAATTGAACCCGGGTCCCGAGCGTTGTTGGATGACAAGCTCATATACTAACCACTATACTACGGAAGATTTGTGGGTGTGGGCACCCGTCGTAGTCTTGTTGGAGAAGCATGTGGATTTGAGGCATTATCAAGCGACAGCCTTTGGAATACGAAAGATGGGCGCTCCTTGCCAGAGACTTGTGTGTTGGTCGTGTTTCAATCCGCTCCAGTAAAACTTATACAATGGTGCAAAGAAACGTACTTTAATATATTGAGAGTGGCGGTACTATTGCTGGGTTGAAGCTGAGCCTCAGGCTACCGTCACCCCTGTGAGTCCTGCACCAGGAGTAGTAGGTTATCGAGGGCTGAAACAAAATAGAGAGCGGATTTAGATAATGCCGATAAATCAAGTGGTGAGGAATGAGGAGAGGAGATATGAATATATGTTGAATAATGTTGAGAAGGATTAATAAAGCAAGATGATTGAATGGTTGAAAGGATAGTAGAGAGTTGAGAAGAGACATGGGAGGACATCGGTAAGGAGTATAAAGAGCGGTTATGTTACTTCCTGGGAGAGCCTCAAGATTGGGGCCCTCCATCTTCAAATCCACTGATGGAGTCGTTTCTGATATGTAGGAGACGGTTATATCTGAAAATGAAAATGGTCCCAAAGAAAATAAGCGCCAATGAAGAAAGGATGTGAAAGAAGAAAAGAACAAAAAAAATCTCTCCCGCCGGGATTCGAACCCGGGTCAAGGGCGCTGATCACGATCAAGTTGACAAGCCCCTATACTAACCACTATACTACGGAAGACTGGTGAATGGGTATTTGTTGAAATTGCTGCCTGGAAAAGTGAATCATAAAGGGAAGGAAGAGTGAAGGAAGGTGGGAGGCGGGTGGAGGTGCGTGTTATTGATTCAGAGAGGAAGGAGCAAGCAGCGGGTGGTTTGCCTCACAGTCACCCGTGGGAGCAAACACTATGTGAGAAATATTTGAATGATACAAACACATCTGAGATCAAAGCTCAATAGTCATACAGCGTTGGAAAACCTCCATGTCGTTGCCAGCTTGATCGACTTATAAAGGGTTAGGGTTGCATATCAACTACCGAGTTCCCGAGTTCCGAGCGAATGGGAACCAAAAAACATCGTCATGCATGTCTCTGACAAATCGATTGCCGACACCGCCGCAAAAGACAAGTCCGTTAAGTCCGTGTTTCGTGGGCATTGGCAAACGTGTGGTATTTCCAACACTTTAGAGAACCTCATTTGAAGCACGTTTTCTTTCATCTAAAACAAACTATATTATCTGTGATGATGACAAGGGAAAAACCACCATTGAACTTCACCGTTCCTGCCGTTCCGTTCCAGCGGTCTTATCCCCACATCCGCCGATCGGACCCCGCTAACGCAAGCCAAGCTGCAGCCCTGCCGAACTCCTCCACCATTATTGCCAATGCCCCGCCATACGATCGCGTCACTGAAGAGCTCTTTCTCTCTCTTTAACAGCCCCGCATCCCTCATTGACCTCCCGTCCTCACCACTTTCAACACAGATTCAATTCCTCACCACCACACCCACCTCCAACACTCCAAGTCAACATCACAACTCCCAAACTGAAACACAAAATGGCCGACCCAATCTCCATAACAACCCTCGAAGAACTAGCCGACATTGCCCTCCAAACCAAATACGTTATCCTAGACTTCACAGCCGAATGGTGTCCCCCCTGCAAAGCCATCGCCCCTCTCTTCAAAAAACTCTCCAACAGCTACTCAGTCCCCGGTCAATTAGCTTTTATCAAAATAGACGTGGACGCCGGTCAGGAATTAGCAAAAGCATATCATGTTACCTCGATGCCGACTTTTATTATTCTTGTGGACGGAGAACCAACTGGTGTTGATGTTGGGGGAGGAAAGAAACTAGGTGGAGGGACTGTATATGGTGGGGAAGGAGGAAATAAAGTGGTCATGATTAGGGGTGCGGATCCTAGGAATTTGACTGTTGTGGCTTCTGAGTTGGGCGAGATTGCAAAGAAGGCTGCTACAGAGGGGGAAAAGAAGCCTGCGGAAGAAAAAAAGGAAGGAGAGGAAAAGAATGAGGAGGAGGTGACTGCTTAGATACCATCCTGGACACACTGCGACGAAAAGATACTGTTATGAGAATAAAGAAAAATACAAATCTAGGTTCAACCGCACCACAACTACAAGCGCCACAACCACAAAGTATAAAAGAGTGGCCCTTCTCCGGGCTTCTATTGCTCAATGGTATCAAAACTAAAACAAAAGCAGGCTTGCATATCTTAACCAAACTTTTCTCTATCCCCAATCAACTACTCATCAATTCCCTCTCCACACTTTCCACAACTCAACACCTGCTTCCCACCAACCTTCTTGGCCTTAAACTCCTTCCCTCCGCAACCCGCACACTTCATGACGCCGCCGTCCGCTTCCGTCCCCCGACTCCATAAATGCCTATAAGGGGATCCATCCCTCCTTGCCTGAACCGGGTTAAACGGGGTGCTCGGTACAGCATGCTCGTGGTCCCCAGGGGCACTCACAGGAATCGACCTTATATCTGAATCGCCTCCCATCCCTCTGATCGACAACGCAGGCGCCAACCCAGCAGGAGGCGGCATCGACTTGTGTCTGTCGGCAACACCCGAGTTATTATTGTTGTTACCATCGCTGCTGATGGTGGTAAATACACCGAGGGCAATGCTCCTGCGCCTGGTTCCATCAAACGCGTCGTTCTCCTTCTGGTCAGGTGCATCCTTTTCGTCTCCTGCAGTTGTTGCGTTACCATTTTGCTTCGCCGCCAGTGAACTCCGACTTCCGCTGCTTCCGGGCCCATCAGCTTTAACTGCGTGGTTGGTTGACTTGTTGAACGCAGTGATTCCTCGCCAACGATTAAGGTTCCAAAACGATGAAGTGGTACTACCTCCTCCTCCCCCTCCTCCAGCAGTGGAGTCTATAGGCTCCTCATTTTCGCTCGCAGACCGAAAGGTGAAGCTCGGCGTAGGTGGAACCGATATTTCGTCGTCAGCTCTTGACTTGCGCCTTTCCCGTCCAGCTTTGAGCAGCCGCGAAGGTATCCTTTCGGGAGTGCCATTAAAAACACTCGCCGTCGGACTGGTCAAGGTACTGCCTGCTCTGTTTCGAGTGGCCGAAGAGTTGGCATACGGTTGTTTTCTTGCCTCACTGGCCAAATTGACCATGGAACTTAAAGGAGTCCCATTGGTTTTGGCGGGACTAACTGATCGCTCGCTTGATGCTGTCAATGAGCCATTACCAAGCAAACTTGATCGCTTGTCGTTACCGTGCTCAATGCCTTGTCGCCAGCTGAGGATGCGATCAGAATTGACTCCCAATTGAGGAGACCCGATATTTCCAACCATACTGACGGAACCCCTCCTGCTATGCGCTGTGCTGCCGCCGCTCGTTCGGGTGACAACGCTTCCACTGCGCCCCAGACCACTGCTGACAAACCCATTGCCTGGGCCGAGCTTACGACTAAACGTGCTTCCGGTTTCCCAACTGTCGTGCCTCCGCTTCGCAAAGGCACAATCTTGACGGAAGACTTTAATAATCCCCGTGTCACCCGTCGTTATGATGATGTTGCCATCGTAATGCGTTGACCTAGCAATGTACGCCGGACTTGGTTCGGGTTTCTTCGCCATGGACTCAGACGCCGGCGGGACATGAGACCCATTCGTACTCAAGGCAACCTGACTGACAGCGGCGCTGGCAACTTCCTCCAAACTCTGCAACACAACAGGCGGCGGATTGCACAAATCATAAATCGGATCACCGCTCTGACCCAGCAACATCCTCGACCTGGTCGGCGCGAACAATGCGGTGGTGACGACCTCTCCGTGAGCTTCAAAGTATTCACAGGGCGACTTGTCCTTGTCCGTCGAGATTGCATTATTGTTGGTTAGATTCCAAACAAACGCCTTTCTATCTTCACTGCCGCAGATGACGTATTTCCCATCGTCAGAAAAGGTTGCCGCAATTTGACTGCACGAATTCTCATGTCCCTTCAGCTTGATGTCCAATGAGTTGTCGCGGATACTGTATATACGAATGCGGGAGTCGTTTGAGGTGACGAGGACACGTACTTCCCCGGAGGAGTTCTCGAGATCAGAGACATGCGACGCATTGCTCGGTGGCGGTACATGAGTGGGTGCACCTGACGAGTTTTGTGGAGGGAGAACCATGGTTTGGATGCCGGTAATCTTGCTGCCCTTGGCATTCTTTCCTCGAGACGACCGTACGTGGATTTGTGTCAGTTGCTTCAGCCCCTCGGTCTCGAAGAAGACGCACAGCCCATTCAAAAGTCCGGCGATGGACATTTTGCCATCAGGAGTGAATGCGACAGCCGTGACTAGATCGGGCAGCTGTGCAGAGTAGGCAACGGCCTTGTCGGGAATGCTCCATAGCCTCAACATGCTGTCCAAGGAACCAGCCAAGAAAAATCGGTCGTCTCGTGGGTGGAAGGCAAGTCGCGTAACAAAGTCTTTATGTTTGAAGGTACAGAGGCATTCTTTTCGGCTGAGATGCCATAGCCTGACCGTCTTGTCCATGGAAGAGGACAACAGGAAATTATTTTTGCTCCAACTCAGATCAAGAACCTCGCCAGCGTGTCCTTCGAATTCCATTACCGGCTGATCCCTGAACACAGGCGCACTAAGCCTTTCGCCAGCGCCTCTGTTGGCAGCCTCTTCTTCTTCATTAGCCCTGCGCTCCTCGGGTGTCGATATTACTGCCCATATCCTGACGACATGGTCTCGTCCTCCAGTAGCCAAGTATTTGCCGTCCTTGCTGAACTCGGTCGCCCAAATAGCACCCCCAGATCTTGCCGTCTTGTGATCGCTACCGCCAGCGACGCTTACTGTTACAACCGGGGCCTTACTCGCCTCTGCTGCTGCTTCCACACTATCCTCTGGGGGTCGTGTACCAACCAATTCCTGCGCAAGAAACATGCGGTTGAACTCGCGCTCCTTCTTGTTGGTCGCTTTCGTTCGTATGTACCGAGGTGGTTCCTTGTGATGTGGGACAAAGCCTCCTCCTATGAGTGGACTGTTCAGGGTTTGACTGAATACCCGAGCATTGATGCCGTCCATGCGCGTCTCGAGGCCGAACTCCGAGTCGGAATCAAAATCTCCAAGCTGCTTCTTGCGGCCGCCGCGCATGCTTAGACGGCTTAGAAAGGAGCCCCCCTTCTTCTTGTCCTTGGACGCATCGCTCGTTGGCGCCGTCGCTCTCGTCAAAAAGTCGGAGCTTGTCCTTGCTATTCCTTCCGCCATGTGTATTGACCGTCGTGGAATCGATATCGAGTGTTCGGTGTTTCGTCGCATATAGATTTGCTGCAGCAGAACACATCGTCAGCCATTCCTCGTGCTCGCGCAGGTCCTGGACAGTGGAAGCCCCTTATTGGATTTATCGCACCTGTGTTAAGGGGTCAATGCTCGGGCTTGGAATGGGTGAGACCGTCGACTGGTTCTGGGAAACACCAATGCTGAGGCCTATGGCGCTCCCATTACCGGCAACGGTTGTGGTGGGGTTGCGAGAGCTGTCTGCATTCTTCTGGCCATCCGTATCTTTTTCCTTGTCTCTGTCCTTCTCTTTCAGTTGGGCCACAGTTTGAGATCGTGATGTCTTGGACAAGGATTTTCGGCTCGGGTTTGGGGGTTGTGACGACGTCAATGGTGGTCTCGTTCGGGTCCCTGAATCCAATGCGTAAGCTTCCGATCCGGGGGCGGGATTCATGATTCCCAAATCCGGGCAAGGAGACGGATGGTAAACAAAAAAG